AGGGGGGACAGGGGGGAGGGGAGGGGGCGGGAAATGAACAAAGAAGCTTCTTTGTGCTTTCTAAGGTGTGGTGGTTGTTTAGTTAGGACAGGGGTGGCCAACCTGTGGCTCCAGAGCCACATACAGGTCTTCAGAAGTTAATATGCAGCTCCTTGTATAGGCACCAACTCTGGGGCTGGAGCTACAGGTGCCAACTTTCCAATGTGCCGGAGGTGCTCACTGCTCAACCCCTGGCTCTGCCACAGGCCCTGCCCCCACTCCACCCCTTCCCGCCCCCTCCCCTGAGTCTGCCGTGCCCTCACTCCTACCCCTTCCCCTGCTCCCCCCGAGCCTCCTGCACGCCATGAAACAGCTGAGTGGGAGGTGCAGATCGGTGGGGCTGCTGGTGGCTGGGAGGCACTGGGAGCAGGGGTAGGAGGAGCTGGGGGGGGGGGCTGCTGACATATTACTGTGGCTCTTTGGCAGTGTACATTGGTAAATTCTGGCTCCTTCTCACGCTCAGGTTGGCCACCCCTGGGTTAGGAGTATAAAAACCAAAAGAATACGCTAAAGGCTCTGGGTACCCTTGACACTCATTTAAAAAAACATAGTACAAACATGAGCCTAGCAAGAGTACACCATTTTAGCTTCTTTTACTCTAATTTTTGTATGTGTTTGATAGCAGTTAGTGTATTGTCTTTTTCCCAGTAATAATCATTTTCTCTTGCCATTGTCAGGGCGTTATAGGAATACAAGACACCAGGGATGTAGTAAAACTAGGCTGCAGCATTATTAATAGAATACATCTGGGAGACTGTCCAGTAATAACTCAAGGTCAACCTTCCTTCCATAATCCGTACCACTTGGGGAGGACTGTTGTAAGCCTCCATCGTTGTGGGGACCCCTTCACAAGGATTAATGGGGTAGGGAAAAGAGAGTGGACCCTCACTTTACCAGACACTAGGCTTCCCATCTGCTTTCTCCAGTGGATGCCCTCCCCTAATCCTGCTCCATTATGGTTTATTGGGAAGCTGGACCTGTATTTAAAATGTACCTGCACTGACTGCCTGCCAAGTTGAAACAACATGAACATTTTACCCACCAGGTCTCAGAGCTGCTTTCAGGAAGAAAAAACCCAATGCCAGTCTGGCAGTGAGGGAAATTCCTTCCCAGCCCCAATAAGACAACTAGCATGATGCTTACAATAAGGGCCAGAAACACCAGACCTATTCTAATCCCAGTGGAGTGGGGAAGGGGAGAGTTGTAACTCCCTGGGTGCATAGGAAAAGGCTTATGCCATTTAGGTGTACAGGGGCTAGTGAATCCAGTCAATCATCTAGGAATACTTCTCTCCCCTGCCATCCCTTGCTACATGAATTTCGCACGATCCTGAGGAAAGAGGAGGGGTGTGCTTGGAATCCTTAAAGGGGCTTCCTTTCCTTGCTGTCCGAGACTCAACCTCTCTACCTCTGAAGTTATAGGGTGAGGGAGGCATTTCTGATGCTTACAGGGAGGAGAAAAACACTTTTTTTTAAGTGGTTATAAAACCACTAATTGTCAGGGGTGACTCCGAAGCAGCTATTAGTGCCGGGAACTACTTTTTTTTTTTAAATGGCTAGTTTTCAAGCAAAACTTAAATTCTGCCAAAATGATTGATATAAAGTAGGTAGGCAACCTGTTGATCATTTCATAATTTTAGCCTGCCGCACCTGAAGAGTCTATTTCTGCAGCACCCAGTTATGATGCAAGTTTGACTTCAACAGCAGGGGCTGCTGAGAGAGCCTGTTTGCATACAGACATCCTTTTTAATGAGGAACAAGGAAAGAGACCTCACCCATGCCTTATATACAGTGGAAACAGATCTATTTTTGAATTGATTGTTTTTTCAGTCTTCTGTATGATGTCAACTACTTTTGATGAGGTTTCATAAGGTGTCAGCTAATGCTTCACTGTAACATTTGTTACCAGGAAAAAATTGCCTGACAAATGGTTACTCTTTTAAATACATTTATTGAAGAGGCAGAGAAAGGTTGCCAAATACACAAAGTAAAACACCTTTCTCCTATTTCAGTTAGATTAAGCAGTATTACAATTTTAACTAAAACACTTTTGTTTCAAAGTGTGATGATTGAGTTGATTGTATCCTTCATTACATTTCTCGACTTTAATTTTAAGTTTGCAACCTTAAAGTTCCATTACTGTAAGCTTTGTTTTTAATTCTGTTTACATCTATAGGAAACAGTTTTGTTGATTTAATTCAATGAGAAAGATCTGTAATGCATTAGAAAATAGGTGAAAACAGTCTCGAAGATACTGAATGGTCTTAAAGTTTGAAAAATACTTTTTATTTAGCTGCAAATGAAGATCCAGAATGGATACTTGTCGAGAAGGATCGATTTGTTAATGATTATGACAAGGATAATGATGGAAAACTCAACCCTCAAGAACTGCTGACGTGGGTAGTACCTAATAATCAGGGTATTGCACAAGAGGAGGTATGAGGTTTGAGTTCATGGCTTTTGTTTAGACTTAATGAAATTTCTTGAAAATATTGTGTAAAAAGACCAAATATATGCTGCGTTAATTTAGTCTATTGTACAAAAAAAGTATATTTTACATTTTATTAACTGAAAAGTATCTAATAACACTTTTCATAACGTTCTTATAAAATTAAGATTTTCACTTTAATAAAGAATGAAGATTATTACAAAAATGTTGCATAGTGCAGCAGTTAGAATTCCTATGGACTATATGAATGCTGGTCAGAATATTAAATTAATACAGTTGCATTCCTCAAAGGTAAATAGTCAATCTGACTTGATGGAAGATACAGTATTTTTATCAAAACCATGATAAATCTTTCCAAAATACTAGATGGATAACATGAATAAATTAAATATTAATACAGAGGCCATGACATGCATTCTTCTGATAGAACTTGCTACCCTTCATCTAGCTGGATAAGTTGCTGCCATTTGTGTCTTGGGTAATAGAAACCTATGTACATAAAATCAAAACAGAACCTAAGTATACCATAATCCAAATTTAAAACAATTAAATCAGTTGAATTAGGCGTAATGTGATATAAGGAGTTTAAATGGATTCTTTGTCTAGCTGTTGTTCCTTTCTCTTATTTTTTCCTGCAGACAATTGAAGCACTTAATGTCCCAAAACCAAATTGTTTGTTTTGGTAAACGGTCCTCACTATTGCTGAGTACAGCAGATAGGAAGAAACCTACTCTCCCTATCCCTTTTCTCCCCAATAACTGTATATTAATTATCCAAATGTTCCTTCTTTTGACTGCATCAGATCATTTGACATTTCAGATTGGAGGGAAGAATGTGTTTCCCCTTCACATTTAGATCATCTTTTGTTCTTGTCTCAGAGACAGACAGCACATTCTGTGTCATAGCACGTTCTCTGTGTTGGAAAGCATGGTTACTGAAGCCATCTCTTAACATCTTTGTTGTATTGTCACGAGAGAAAAAAAACTTGGCCAGGAGTCCAGTATTGCCTCTCAATGTATCGGGTCTTTTTTGAGGTTAAGTGCAAAATGGTTGAAATAACGTTTCTGCAAGATAAAAGTCCAATCAATCTTTGCCAGCAGAACCCCAATATCCTGATATTACTTGCCCAAATCTGATTTTTCAGTCTGCTCCATTCTTTCTTCAAGGATCATATTATTCTTGCTGACTAACTGGCTTTGTGTCTTTCCGTGTACTTTCCTTAAATCCTGTGTGGTCTTGTAACTTTTCAGTAATTCTTTGCTTATCCAGTTGATTTTTTTTTTTTTTATTAAGCTGACAGCTTAATTTTCCAGGAGGTCATAGCATTTTTCAGGCTGCATCCTGGCAAGGATTTCAGTAAATTTTTTGTACCATGGTTCCTTTCTTCTTTTCCAGTACCAAGGGCTCATCTAGAGCCTTCAGGCTAGAGAGACGGTGACACTGAATGAGTCATTGGATGTAGTTTGAAAGTTGTTCTGCGGTTTCATTTTGCTATTTGCAAGTGACTTGTTGCTTGACCACTAGATTACCAAACTCCCACGCATTCAATCCCCTTAGACTAACAGTTCAACCTTTGCTTTAGTAGAACGTGTTTTTTTTTTTTTAACTGATCATAAATATATAAAGAATATTCAGCTGCAGCTCTGTACCTCAGATATTTTAAAACTAGCCATCTTCAAATATTGGAGAAATATTTGACGCTGAGATTTTTAACTTTCTTATCCAAACCATAAACTAGGTCAGAATTAAAGAAGAAAATATGCAAGTATGGCCAGCAAACTAGGGATGTCCAAAGCTGAAAACAGGAGTATCTACAGCTTGACCTAAAGAGCCAGGCTCTGTAGCTGAGAGTTGTAACAGCTGTGCATCCTGTGGGGATCAGGCACAGAGGTGGACATTTGACACATGCTGACCAGTGGATTATACACTTCCTCTGCAAGTTCATTACAAGCATCACAGGAGTTCAAATCCTGGAGGAGGCCCCACTTATGTGATGGCAGCCATTTTAATCAACACACTGGGGACCTCCAGAGATAATAGTAAAATTGCCTATTGCTGAAGCACTGTGGTTGGGAGATGTAACATTTTCTGGATCTGGCAGAGAAAGGGGAATGTGTAACATACATTGACCAGAGGAATAAACAAGAAACTTGCTCTTCCAGTAAGATTCTTCGTTGTCTTTTGCTGCTTGTGGAGGTTTGTTTTAATACTATCTTCTGCTTGATCCTGTTTGATATTGGTAAGCTGCTGTAGAATTGAGTGAGGCTAGATATTCAGCGTTATCACTTTGCTATAAGACAGAAGAAGAACTGTGAGAAAACAAACCTGTATTCTAAATGTACAGTTTCGACTATTGAGGGAAAAATGACAGTGCCTTAAACATACAAAGGGAGTTGATTTTTGGTTCAAAGGTGACAGACATTTTGTGTCACAAGAGTCCCTTTAAACTAATGGCACGAATTAGACAAATCCGTGCTAAAAGCATATTTATAAATGTAAGCATCAGCTTACTGGACAAAACAGATTGTGTTCCATTTATTTTAAAGGCTCTTCATCTGATTGAAGAAATGGATTTGAATGATGATAAAAAGCTCTCTGAGGCAGAGATTCTTGAGAACCAGGATTTGTTCCTTACAAGTGAAGCAACAGATTATGGCAGGCAGCTCCATGATGAACGTTTCTACCATCAAGAACTTTAGTTTACTCATTTGTGATCTTGCTGCCTCTGTGTTCCTAAACTGGAGTTTTTCTTTAGGGTACTCAAATTTATAAGCTGCATTGTAAGTTTTACTTTGTGTGATTTATAAAATACTAGTGTTTGTGTAAGTGTTTTGCATTCTAAATTTAATTACTTAAGTACTTTTGCAAGTTTCCATAGGCTTTTTCAGCCTTCAGAACTAATCTGAAATATTTAGTATTCCTCGAATTGCAGCATTAACATTTTTGGCATCTGAAAAAGTAAACATTCTTAAATAATCTATATGTTTAGTACTGTATTGTGAAATGAGTTGTACTACCGTACTTGAAGAGTCTTAATGATTCTGAAAAAAGGCAAAATGTGTGAGATAAGCAAAAATTACTAATAATTTATTTAGGTGGTTAATGTTTTTCAGAAGTTATGGTGGGGAGTGGGAGAGTAGCAATGTTTAGGTTCACTATTAAAGATGTTTTATTTAATACCCTTGGAGGAACATTCAAAAGGATTAATACCTCAATTGTTCAAGAGGTTTCTGCTTATTTTTAAATGATTTCTATAGCAGGTTAATTGTATGATATAAAACCTTATATTTTTGCATCTGTACAGATAGTAATTATTTTTAATGTATAATTCTACATCATTAGAGGTACATGTGGTATTTCAGTGTCAGAACCCTCTTCATTTGTCAGATTAAAACAGTTAAACGCTCCATCTTTCTATATTTCTTTTCTAAACTTATTCCTAATCTGTGATCACCTAAAGCAACTACTGTAGTATATTTATTAAGGGATAATAAGAGAGGTGCCCCATCCAATGACACATTAAAATTTATCCATTTACAGTATTGCCAGTGAAAACTGTGGTATTCCTGTGTCTGCTGTACATCAAGTGATGCTCTGTTCCTTTTTTCTATGCCAATTAAGAAAAAATGTGATATAATAAACATAACCCTTTATTTCTCCTATTATCTTCAATATTGTGGAACTCCACCCAAGAAATCAGGTAGCATCCTCAGCCATTATATACCTGACAGAAGATTCAAGAAGAGCTAACCATGCATTTGACATTTTTCTGAACAAAACTTGGAATTATGGAATGGGACAATGTTTTTTTTTTATAAAAATGGAATGTTGGGCTAAAGTGAAGTAGAAAGAAAGCACTGATTCTACAATCCTATCACTAATATTTTTAGAGTAATAATCTAATACCTTATTTTGGTGGGGTGAAATACCCCATGAATAGCATTAGAATCTGAGCACCCTTCGCTTTCAGTTCCAGTGGTAATCTGAAACTGAGGCTGAAGACTAAGTACCAGAAAGGTTAAAAAGCCTTTTAAAACTGAGTGGTGGAAAAATTTTAATTATTACAAAATTTTAAAGGAAAAAATGTATTTTCTAAATACACTTTTTAAAAAACCCTTATTTTCATGCTCTGTCAGCAGGTCTCAAACTTTCAGCAACCTGAGGATCCCCATTTGATTTAAAATTTGTCACAGACCCCAAAGCTGGCTTCTAATTTTCTCTGGGGGGTTCTTAACTCCTGTTCAGCACCAGGCCGTGCCCCCAATGCACCCCTGCCCCCAAAGCCCCACCTCTTTCCACCCCTCCTCTTCCCTGCTCCTCCCCCTCCCTCCCAGTGCCTCCTGCATGCTGCTGAACAACTCTTCCACAGTTATGCAGGAAGCACTGGGAGGGAAGGGGAGGAGTTGATCAGCGGGACCGGCGGCCCCAGACATGACTTGCTGACCCTAGTTTGAGAACAGCTGCTTTCTGTGTTAAAGGAAATTATATAGAAACTACAAAAAAAATTCAACCATCCTCATACACAGCATTTCTTTTTCTTAGAAATATTATGAACTCTGTCTGCTGACTTTAGTTATGTGGTCACACCTTTTAACTTCTATTTAAATATAGCTTGAGTTGCAGAGGTTTTTTTTTATTAGTATTCAGAAAAAAACTTTCACTTAATAATTCTCTGCTAAACATACATGCCCATATAAAAATGTTCATGATGAAATATATATTTTGGAACACAGCATAGTGTGGCATATTCCATTGATGTAACAGATCTGAGTTAATTTATGTAGCACATATACTTTTCAGAACATTAAGTTGATGCAGCAACATGTAACAGCTCAAAAACATTATTTTTGCACAAAGACTGATGCAATAGACAGCCACTATGGTTTAATTAAAGAGCTACATGCAGTTGTTAACTTCATATTGAAAATCCCCAAGTTTTATTTGGGTGCAGGAATAAAATCAAGTAAAGATGATTTCCAAGAGAACTGTGTGTTTGGTTTTTGGCTCTTCAACAGCTGACTGTTCTACTTCATAAACTAGAGTCAGCAACAGAATAAAAACAGCTATTTGGGTCATAGCAAAACTAAGCACCTGAAACTGCTGAAAGAGATATTTAATTTTGTCTATACATATTTAATAAAGCCCTCTTACAAACATACTATTGTTGCTTGTGTTGCACTTTCCTAGGGTTTTTCTTTCCTCCCAGTCTTTCTCTTTATTATTGAGTAAAAGCATACATTGTTTTGGCTTAAGTTTGCTTGTTAATAGTATTAATGATTTTCAGAACAATCCATGATGCTCAGAGGTGGTTTTAGCATGTGGTCCCTTGATTTGCTAACTCTATTAGCAAAGCAAATGTGTAAGGGTAAAAGGGCTTTTTAATATAGTGTTGATGACACATTTAACAAAATACACTTATAATTCTCAGGACACTCCCCACCAAAATAGTAAGTTTTTTGAGTTGGAGACTGTATCTAATGTATTAGAGTGTACTTTTAAAGACTCCTATTTTTAAGTGTTTGACTGAAGATAAAACTTCAGACTATTTGTTTGAATTTTTTGTTTGTTTGTTTTGAAAAAACTCATCTCTGGCAGGTGTCTGTCCACTTTTACAGCTTAGGGGAAGTCTACACTACAAAATTAAGTTGACCTAAGCCTTGGTTTACCTACAGAGGTCAGTGTAAAACAACCTAACTCTGTAAGCGTCAACAATAGAACGTAGCTCCCACCAATGTAACTCGCCCACTACACCAACTTAACTCCACCTTCATGAGACACATACTGCTTAGGTCGATGTAGTTACGTTGAAGCAATGTCAGTGTAGACGCTGTTGCTTATATTGGTTGTTGCTACCTTTCAGAAGCCATCCCGCACTGATAGGTAAATGGGTGCAAGTGCTCCTGGTCAGAAGGTGCACTGCCAACACAGGGAGCATTGTGTGGACATGCAAAAGCAATTTAAATAGTGTGGTGGCTGTACATCGACTTAACATAGGTCTACTTAATACCCAGCACAGCTGGGGCTGCTTCTGCTGGCCGGCACAGCTGGGGCTGGGGTCGCGCTGCAGGCGTGGTTGGGGTTAACAGTTAGGGCATGTTAACCAGTAAGACTAATGCTTACAGGTTAACCATCTACTATTTTACATCCCTATCCTAAACAGAAGTTGTTTCAATAAAAGATGTTACCTCACCCACCTTGTGTCTCTAATATCCTGGGATAAATACAGCTACAAGAATGATTAAACTTGGTTATGGAAAAATAAGTTGTTCTACTTGGCAATCTACAAATACAATTCGACCATAATTATTCAAATAGTTTTTGGCAGAGGGAGACACACTGAAGATTTGGATAATCAAGAAAATTTTGAGTGTAATTAAGGCTGGGTGGCATCAACCTGCTTCAGATAACAGTTTTGGATAATCAGAGTGAACTGTACTAGGAGAAAAAAACTGCTAATGGATGAAGTACTACTGTTTTTATATAAATTGACTTTTGATCTATATGCAGAGTTTCTGCTTAGCATTTAGTTTTAATCAAACCAAATATTACCTCCTCAAGAGGTGGTAGCCAGGTCAATGGAAAAATTCTTCTGTTGACCTAGTACTGTCTACATGGGGTTAGGTCAACATAGCTACATTTCTATCGGGTGTGGATTTCTCACACCCCTGAGTGACATAGGTATGCCAATGTAAGTTCCCAGTGTAAATTAGCCCATAACGTAGACACTTTCCAAGTCAACAGATGGGATTTTTCCATCAATGTAGGTAATCCATCTCCCCAAGACACGGTAACTAGGTCAGAAGAATCCTTCAGTTGACGTAGTTGTGTCTACATTGGGCATTAGGTTGACCTAAATATGGTGCTCAGGGGATGACATTTTTTTAATCTACTTTTTAAAGTGTAGACCAGGCCTCATTCAGAATTAAGGTGCCCTTAATTTTGTTTAGCTTAATTCACTTACAAAGTGAATTAAACTAAAATGAATTAAGGCCCCCTTAATTTTGAATGAGTGTCCACATAAGGGTTTAATGCAGTTTAACTAATCCACTTTCAATTCACCCCTTGAGTTAATGCAGATTAACTTTCCTGAGTGTCGCCAGGTAGGCAAGGCCTGTGCCTACATCTCCCAGGAGTCATGCTGCATTGTACAGACATCATTCCCTGGACAAACCTGCACATGAGGGATCTACAGAGAGTCCAGCTCCAGTGACTAAATGACTTGCTAAAATGCGATGAACAGGAAAAAATTCTGCTGCTTGTTCTGAAATCCCTCCATCAACTCAAAGATCTGTGCAACTCAGCATCCTGGACCTCTGAATGAACACAATATTTACAAATGTATCAGGTGAGCAGTAATGTAACATGACAGCAACTGAAACATTCATTTTATGGACCTAAGGTTTGTGAAATCTGACTTAGTTTGCCAGAGCACAGAGCAGCATGCATATTTTAAACCTACCAAAACAACACACTATACTGCATCCACAATTCTGGGGAGATGACAAGAAACAGAGTAAACCACACATGACAGATATGATTCACATCACTTAATATACTACTGGTAGGTGCTCAGATGCTATGGAGAAGATGACAAGAAGAAACTGTACAGGATAGAACAGAACAGCTGTTGGTTCTGTTGAACAATACAGAATGCCTCTTACATACATAGAGGAGGAGGAGGAACGAGGAGCATCTCTACACTGACCTGTCTAGACAAAGGATAGGGAAAATTCTGACTATTTCTGTATCTTATAAAAATACTATTTTTATAGTTTCCCATCTCAAGCTGTTCATTCCTCACCTGTCTGCATGTATCCGAGTCTGCCTGCAGCAACAGTGCAAGAGCTCTCTCTCTCGGGTCAGACGTCATGGAAACTGATCTGAATTTCATTAACTTTGAAGTTACTTTTGTCACAACATGCTGGCTAGTAATATTATTTCTCTAGATTTACACAACTAAAAAAGAGGACGGATATCGAAGGCCCTAGGCACCAGGCCACAAATTACAAGAACAAAAATAAAATGAAATAGCAGTCTCCACCCTACAGTGAGCAGAACACCCACCCCCCACCCCGCCAACACAAATTTCCCTTCCCCCATGCAGAACTCACTCCCATCAAAATCCACCTGCCACACAGATATGTCAGAGCATCCTGAATGCTGCCAATGGACTGGAGTGGGAGATTGTTCATGGAGAGTGCTCCGTCACTAGCTCCATGAATCCTAAATCGAAGGGGATCCAGCTTGAGGGCTTTGATGTCACACTAACGCCAGTTGTGTTCAAGAGGAGAAAAGTGGTCTCAAATGCTGGAAGGTCCCAAGTGATTTATACTTAAGGATTTTGGGATCTGTATTTTTATCAGAGCATAACTTTTCCTACATAGGCTGTGATTTCATTGCAATTGCT